AGTCTGCATTTCTAAAAAGCTCCCAGATGTTATCAATGTTGCTGGTCAACAGATCACACTTTTTTTAAAAAAATTGTTTTATTTTCTATTTTATTTTGAGAAAGCAGGATTTATTAAGAGGACAGAAAAGCTCCCGCAGTGGGAGGGGACCCGAAGGGGTTGCTGTCAGATCACACTTTTAAAAGCAAAGACGGGTGGATTACCCAAGTTGCTAGGGCCAACTTGGACCAGAACGTATTGTCTCATTTTCAGAAATTTGGTGAGCCTGTTGTTAAACACAGCAATCATTAAAAAAATCAAATTACATAAGCTTACAATTAAATAAATTATATCACAGAAGTAAATAAAAACTAAAAAGCATCACTGTCCCAATTATTTTACTGCTAAATCTATGCTCTTGAAGTTATTTATGTCTGTTGTATCTGTGTGATGAAAAACTACATGTCAGCATGCAACTGTTCGTCTCTTCATCTCTTCCCAACTCTGTGTTCAGTGGCATCCTATTGACAGCTTGAAATCAGCCAAGGGGAATATTTCACCTCAGAAATTTGGGTGTAAAGGTATTCTGGGGTGAGCAGGTCTTTGCAAACATACCCCCCCCCACAAATCTAAGGAAGCTGAGAGGCCAAAGAAAGAGGCTGACAATGTCTCAGAAAGAAACATTTAATAGGGACATATGTTCATGCCTAGGAATTTTGTTTGTTTTTTTGAGTTGGAGTCTTACTCTGTCCCCCAGGCTGGAGCACAGTGGCATGCCACCCTAGCATTGACCTGCTGGGTTCTGGTGATCCTTCCACCTCTGCCTTCCAAGTTGCTAGCCAAAGTCCCAGGTGGCAGTGAGACAAGATGGTGGATCCCCATACCATGCCATTACCTGCCAGACCCAGGGCTTATATGAGGGAGGAACCCCTCAAAACCAGGAATTTATTTACAAAAAATTGTGTATTTATTCTAACATGTTTAAACTTCAGTTACCTTCAAAGCCCTCTCTGTGTTGGGCAATACACCTATGCTTTTTCCTCTACTTAAAACAGTTTTCGAGTTCGTCAGTTTTGATGACTTTTAGTGTTTCTGTCATGGGCAAACCATTACCCTTTGAGAACTTTTTTTCATCCAGGGAACAAAAAAATGTCGCTTGGGATGAGAGTGGATGAATAGGGAGGGCAGGGCACAAGAATCTTGCCATTTTTGGTGAAAAACGGCTGAACGCTCAGCACAGTGTAGGCAGGTGCGCGCATAAATCACCCATTATGGCAGGGTGTGGTGGCTCAAGCCTGTAATCCCAGCACTTTGGGGGGCCAAGACGAGAGGACTGCCTGAGCTCAGGGGTTCCACCAGTCCGGGCAACTGTGAAACCTCGTCTCTACAATATATCAAAAAATTAGCCGGGCATGGTGGCACATGCCTGTGGTTCCAGCTACTTGGAAGGCTGAGGTGGAAGGATCGCCTAAACCCAGCAGGTTGATGCTGGGGTGGCTGTGGGCGTGCTGCTGCACTCCCGCCTGGGCAACAGAGTGAGAATCTGACTCAAAAAAATAAAAAAATAAAAAATCACACATTATGAAGTGACAAATGTATTGAAAGACTCTCAAAAAAACAAAAAACAAAAAGCCTCATTGAAGCCAGACACAACCTCTCACAACAACGCTAGCTGGTATACTGATGCCAATGGGTTCCTAGAACACTTACCTAGAGGGGGAAGCCTGTACTACAAAGGACATACCTTCCAAAAAATAATTCTGGGTTTTTTGGGGAGTCCCATAGGGTAGAAATGTGTAGGACAATTGAAGTTGACTTCTTAGGGGGAAAGGCAGGAATGCTAGGTGAGGCAAGGTTGCTTTGACCTAAAGTAGAGGCATATCTGGAAACAGGGTTCATCAGAACAGAAGTCAACACGGCAGATTAGCATGTTGGAGCTGCTTTCACCTCCACAAAGGCATGCAAGCCTTCTCTAACACCTGACACCACCAGTATTTTTCATTTTTGTTAATTTAAGAAATCAAAAGTGGTATCTCATTTCTAATTTGCATTTCCCTAGTTAAAGTGAAATTGTGTGTCTCATATGTTCATGCCTAGGAATTTTGTTTGTTTTTTTGAGTTGGAGTCTTACTCTGTCCCCCAGGCTGGAGCGCAGTGGCATGCCACCCTAGCATTGACCTGCTGGGCTCTGGTGATCCTTCCACCTCTGCCTTCCAAGTTGCTAGAACTACAGGCGTGTGCTACCACGCCTAGCTAATTTTTGATTTACTGTAGAGACAAGGTCTCACCAACTTGCCTGGGCTGGCCTCAAACCTGTGGGCTCAGGCAATCCACTTGCCTCAGCCGCCCAATGTGCTGGGATTACAGACTGAGCCACCAAGCCCGGCCCATGCCTAGAAGTTTAACAGTATTTTTTTGCTCTTGTAAATAGGACTTTTAAATTTTTCTATTTCCTAGTTGTTTATTATACAGGAAAGCCAATGGTTTTTAAATCAGGCCATCCCTCCTATCACTTCTAATAGCTTGACGGTGAATTTTCTTGGGAATTCTATGTAATCATACAATTTACAGGTGAGGATTTTTTTTTAAATCAAGAATGGAGGCTCAGTTTATCAAACATTTACTTTCACTGTCTAAATTATGTTTATGTATTTTAGTGGTGTTTGAATTTCTTACATGAGCATGTACTCTTTTCTGTGGTCACAAAGAACATTAAAGATTGTTCTAGGCCGGGCGTGGTGGCTCAAGCCTGTAATCCCAGCACTTTGGGAGGCCGAGACGAGAGGATTACCTGAGCCCAGGGGTTTGACAGCAGCCTGAGCGACTTGGTGAGCCCTCGTCTCTACAATAAATAAAAAAATTAGCGAGGCGTGGTGGCACGTGCCTGTAGTTCCAACTACTTGAAAGGTTAAAGTGGAAGGATTGCCTGAGCTCAGCAGTTCGAGGCTGCGGTGGCTGTGAGCGTGCCACTGCACTCCAGTCTGGGAGACAGAGTGAGACTCCGACTCACAAAAATAAAAAATAAAAATAAATAAAAAAGAGTGTCCTTTATGTTAAAGTTCCTTCCCTTGTATATTGTAGCCCTCTTTCAGCTCTTTCACTGTCTTCCTTGAATGTATGCCTTCTCCAGGAGCCAACCTTGCTACTCAGAGGGCAAGAATGCTCTCTCCATGTCCCACTCAGCATTAACCTTTATATATAATATTTCAGTAAATGGTGGGGAAATGCCAGGAATTTAAGCCATTGCCTAGAGTATGTATTCTTGAAAATTTCCCTGCTGACCAAGGGGAGGCCCAAACTTTACCTGCACGATAACCACTTATGTACCCCACATCTTTAAAATTAAAATTAAATAAAATTTCCCTGCCATAACTACTCATTTGAATTGAGGGCTTCAGGACATTTCCAGCCTCTTCCCACCCCACCCTCCATCACTTCCACCACAAGTATATAAATGACAGATTGTTCCATTGACCTGTGATCCCTAGAATCTTAATTACACCCCTGGTAGCTGGGCTCTGTTTGGGACCTAGAATCCCAAGAGTCCTGATCAGTATCTATAGTTAGGCAGGTGCATGGGGTTTAAAGTTGCTACTATTCTTGACTTGCGTATATTGGAATTATCTCCAAGAACAGACTTATTTTCTGTTGCTTTAAGAAGAGGAAAGAGGGCCAGGCTCAGTGGCTCAGCCTGTAATCTCAGCACTTTGGGAGGCCGAGGTGAGTAGATTGCCTGAGCCCGAGGGTTCGAGACCCGCCTGGGCAACTTGGTGAGACCTCATCTCTACAACAAATCAAAAACTAGCTGGGCGTGGTAGCGCACACCTGTAGTTGCAGCTACTTGGAAGGCTGAGGCGGAAGGATCCCTGGAGCCCAGCAGGTCGAGGCTGCGGTGGCCGGGAGCGGCCACTGCACTCCAGTCTGGGCGACAGAGTGAGACTCCAACTCAAAAAAAAAAAGAAGAAGAAGAGGAAAGAGAACAGATATCAAAGTCAAATTTCAGATCCACCCAAAGAGGGATGTGATCTTGAGCAAGTCAGTAATTTCTGTGTTCCTCAGGGACCGCCAGTGTGAAATAACACCAAAGTATATTTTAAAAGGTCCAGAAGAGATCTGAGAGGCGCTTGCAGGATTTTCCAGGCCTGTGCAATCAAACTGATGAAGTCTAAACTCCATCTCTGCCATTTACTACCTCAGAGGGGTTACTCGGTTCTAGATTTCCGCTTGTTCATGCATAAAAGTGGGACGGTAAAAGCACAAAGCTGAAAGAGCACTTGTGAAGATTAAACGAGATAACATGTTAAGCTTGATCATAAAGCTAAAGCTCATCCGGAGCGCCCCATGAACATTAGCCACGTTCCTTTTATGACATAAGGGCGGCTGCGGCGAGAGAAAGCACTTTGTACTGCCCCTGTCGGACCCGGTGAGCTGGCTGAGCGAATTTTTACCGGATTCGCGGCCCAAGAAAGAGGAGGCAGGCGGGTCGCGCTGTCCTAGCACCTCCGGGGCAGCAGGGGGCCCTGGCCGAGGCTGTGGGCAGCGCGGCGGCGACGGAGCG